TAATTTTACTCAAAAATGTGGTTTTTAAATCATGATTTTATTCATTTTCAGCATTATTCAACCCTGGTTCTTCAGGTCTTGCACATTTTACATGTGTTTTCGCTCACATATGTGCAAATATATGCTTCAGCACAACTGGTCAAACAATGGGGTCATTAGGACTGTGGTGAACTTGTCTGCATGCTGAGGAGGTAATTCAGCCATTTGATTCAGGTGGAAGCAGAGACACATCTAAAATCTGCAGGAAACCAGACCTCCAGGACCAGAATAGAGGAGAAAAATGAACTCAAACCAACCTGACCCTGTGTGAAAAATGAAATGCCCCAAATAGCACCAGCTCTCTTTAGGTATTTAACTGGAAATAATGTCTGTTCTATTAAGATGGATGGGTTTTCTTCTTTTTTCGGTTTTATTCAGTCACATCGGAGGGTTGTGATTCTCATCCTGTTTGACGCCATCTGATGGGACTCTGGACTGACTTTTTATTAAGGTTTATGCACAAATTTGAGATACAGAGTAAATATCTGTAGACGATAGCACTACAGATGACGATTACATTTCTGTCTTAGTCAGTTTATCTAGTCATCATTTAGAGTTCATTCACAGTGCAGAGTGTTCAAACAGGATGACTGTGGACTGGCTGGAGAGGCTGGAGAGCCTGGAAGGCCTGAAAGCACCGATCCGAGAGTAAACCTCTGCATCCGAGCAGGCCCCCCATGACAGGTGAGGGCTGGGTGGGGTGGTTTGGATCAGAGGCAGGGGGAGAGGGAGCGACAGGACGCGGGGAGTCGAAGGGCGGTGCTCAGGTGGAGGTGGTAGAACAGGAGTCGGTGGGAGAGGAAGTGCAGGTGGAGGAGGAGCAGGCAGGCCGATGACGGTGGAAGAGACTGCTGCCGCTATGGTTTGGATCGGAGTCGTATCTTCAGGGATGACCCCGTTTTTGAAGGGTGTTTCCTGACAGGCGGTGGGATGTTTCAGCCTGTAGGTGGCGCTGTGGTAGAAGCTGCTGTACTCTAAAGCATTCATCGCCCTCGCCAGTCTGAGCCTGGAAAACAGCACCATATAAACATCTTAGAGCACATTTGTTTTGATGTGTTTTGTGATTTTGAAATGTCAAGTTTGTACATTAATATGCATAAGCAGAATAACTTTCTATTTCAAAGTCAAGGCTATGTTTTTTGACTTGTACACGAAATTAGCAACAGATTAATACATATATATTATTATTATTTTGTTTGTTTTTTTGTTTTTCCAGCTTTCATTGTCATTACACTGTCACAAGTACAGGGCAACGAAATTCACTCGCTGCATTTAAGCCATCCCTGTGGGGAGCAGTGGGTTGCCATTGTGCGGCTCCCATGGAGCAGAGTGGGGTTAAGGGTCTTTTGCTTTGGGACTCAGAGTGGCAGCCTGTTAGCCGCGTT